CAGAGCTATTTATATTGGTGTAAATAAATGTTGTTTCAGTGGCTCAAACTTAGTAAGCACTGGGGACGCTAAAAAGTAAAAGCTATCTCTGGCAGCTTATCACCTTCTTTGATTTCCAGCATTTGACATGGAGCGTTCTCAGTGTCACCCCAAAATATACCACGCAAGAGTGAGCAGTCCTTGGAAATTAGCACTGCTTTGTGCAAGCATTTTCAAATAAATAATGCCCAAGCCCCCTTTATTACTTTCAAAAGATATACATGGTAAATATGCCACTGGTTAGACTTCTTTAAATTCTTATATTTGTTTGCATATTTTCATTTTTTAAAGAAACTAGGTCCAAATTATTCTCTTATAAAGAAAGACTAATAAAACTGAATTATTTATGTTACCACTAAAAGTACAAGGAGAATCTTAGGTTAGATATTTTCAATTCTGAAGAACTTAATAAATTTTGTGAGTTAATCCTACAGATGAAATAGCATTTTCTCAAGCACCTTCTGACTTTCCTGCACTTTCAAGCTGCTATAGATCTCTTACTTCAGAAATCCCATTCAAGTTATATTCGAGAACTTTTTTGTTGTTTTTTTTTTATTTACTTTATCACAGCAAGTTTTGATTTTTATATGTTCTTGGAGTTCATGCAGAGAAATGAGAAAAATTTATCATGAATATCATGCACTAATCCCATCTGCATGCTGTATAAATAAAATTAAAAACCTTTAAACAAATGAGGCATAAGCTCTAGACAAAGAATTTCAGCTACGCAACCAAAATCTTAGCAGACAAGCCCGCTTAGGCTGTAACATCTATGGTGCAAACAAGTGAAGCCCTGGGACCATACCCAAAAGAAGACAGAGTTTAGTTTGCAAATTAAATATTAAAAGCCCGGTGCATGCAGTTAACAAATTCCTACATTCCCAAGTTGTTTTGTCAGCCTCCTATGTCCTTGGACAAGAGAAAATCTGACCTAATAAGTAAGCCAAGTATTTTACCTTGAGGAGGTAAATGGAGCCCAGTGGTTCTGCCTCTGGACTTTGGGTCAGTGCAGATATTATTTCCCTCTCAGCTTGTGCCTATCTCCCACTCGGTCTGGATGCCCTGTCCCTGTGTGGGAACTAAAGTAGGCTGAGGGAGGAGAGCAACAAGTGCATTGGCAACCCAGGTGCTGACATCACCCCCAAAATATTTTAAAAGGGCTAAGCTGGGCTGCAGGATTTGGTTAAGGCTGTTTATGTAGTGGCCTCTGTGGGCTGATTTGCTTCTTTTAGTTCTTCTGACGTGGTGCCGTGCTAAGAGCAGAGCTGTGTGTAGCCCTTGGGACTCAATGGGATTTTACGAGAACTTTTGGCCCGTTGGTGTCTTTGCACACAGTGTGGGGAAAAGAGAAAGAAGGAGTGAGCCACTTGCAGAAGCCTGCGTGCAGATTTTGGGATCTCTCAAGATCAGTTCTAGTGTATGGAGCCCTGTCTACACAGTTACTTTCTTAAGTACAGTACAGCTGTTGCTGTCCTATATAGCTATAGTCCCCACAGCTTCTCAAGTTCATATGCATTTAAAAGAAAAGGAATAGGAAAAAAATATTATTTGCATTTGAATACAGACTACTGAAATCCAGGATCATTTGCTGGATAGAAAAGTTTGGGACTAAGAGGTCTGAAAAGCACAATCCATTGCTTTAAAGAGTCACTGACTCACCTGCATGCTCTTCCCTCATTGATTTTCAATGCTGATGTTAATGCTCCATCTGCGTGAGCATACAGAGAAGTATTTCTGGTACCCTGCAGTGTTTCTTCCCAGAAAGCACACGGCTCTGTGGCCTAGATAGCTGTAATCCCCACATCATCTTATCTTTGCCCAAGGCGCTGCTAGAACTTGCTATACACATGAACAAAAAGAAATGGCTATTTGTTTCCTTTAAATTGATAGAGCTGAAAGAGAGTCTCAGCGTGCCGGCCTTGCGCTGCCGTGGGTTCCCCCCACTCAGAGCCTTTGCTTCAGATGAATGATACGAGTATTTCCACTGAAGTCAGAGGGGTCACTTCTGCAACATGGTGCTGCCAGATGAGCATGAGGATCCTGATCAGGTTTAAGTGTGTAAGGCTATCCACAGTGCTGGCCTTATTCCCACTGCCAAACACCACATGATATATAGTATGCAGATTATTTACTGATTCTGATGTCTTTTGTATTTACATTCGGGCATGCTGGGAGATAGTGTAGCTCAGAGTATCCAAGCTTGCTGTGACAGCCCCCCTCCATCAGCGCCCAGGTTTCACCCTTTGCACCAGCGCCGGCACTCACGTCACGGTGCGATGCCCCCAGTGAGGGAGGCCGGCTGGCTGGAAACCAACCTGATGAAAAACACAACAAAACAAATAGCTGTGAGTAACCAGGGGTGTGGAGGGGAGGGTTTCTTGGGTTTTGCTGGATGATTTCCCTAAATAGCCTCCCCTCGCAATCACTGGAGGTAGGAGGGGGAGCAGAGCTGCAGAAATCTTCCCTTTCATTGGCTTGACTGCCTTGCCATTGCTCTCCTAGACACCCAGGCAGCATGTTCACAGAAGCCAACATGCTGCGTGGGAGTCCTCTCCTAAAATATACAGATGAAAGAGCAAAGGCTTAACCCATGCCTCATTCAGGCTTAGATGCCTAAGCAGGTTTGCGGGGTCCTATTGCGATGCACGGCCTTCTAGGCTGAGCCACCAAAGCCTGTCCTCTCAAGGAAAACTTGGGCAAACCTGTCCCATACTTACAGGGGATTTGGGAAATCCAGATTCAAAATGTTCCCCCTCTGCCCGAGGAAAGCAGGGTGTACATCTGCCATGAGACTGTCCTAGGCTATTCCCTTCCCTGGCATGTTCCAAAGCAGAAGTCTCTGGATTTCTCATGCACTGGCTAATCCACTTCACCTCGAATCACATAAATATCCACCAGCAAAAGGGTGAAATATTTGGGTGCCATTGATCCTAATTATTAAATGGTGCACATCAGCGCCCAAATGTTCCCCTTGGGCCGTGCATCTTGGAGATCCTGGGGTTTATTTTACTCTTTGCCAACAAAAAACTCAAAACGCGTATTCTTTAACTGAAACCCCTCAGCTCTGGTCCCCAGGCCTGTATCGGCACTTCCACACTGACAGGGAGCCCCTTCCTGCTCTGTCCCAGCTCACCTCCTTCATCTTGGACTTCATCCATGACAGGCAGAAAACTTCTCTTCTTCGAAGTAGGGAAACAGCACCATAAATGTCATTAATGAGCACACTTCATAAGCACCCTAGCTCCTGCATACCCTTCCTTTCCCTCTACAGGCAGAGAGGTTTCCCTCATTTTTGTGCTGAGGATCTTACAGGAGACCATGGAAGAGCATATTGGATCACAAGAAGTTCATTAGTAGACCAGAAACCTAACACAGCATAATGGCTGGTAGGGGAATCCAGGGAAAGGATATAGAAACAGAGCAAATGTAATATGATCTTTGCCCAGCTATCCTCAAATTTCTAGGATTCAGCCTATTGGGACAGCTAGACTGGGACTAAAAACAAGGTTGGCTTTATGACTCCCTGTTGCTCGTATTGTCAGGGTGTCCCTTCAGTACAAGGGTCTGTTCCTGCAGCTATGATAGCTCGTTCTGTGAATAGTTCCAGACCAGGCAACTTGTTCTTAGTTCAGCTTCTCTACACAACATCCCGCATACTTTCAGTATTACAAAAAATAGCAAATTCAAATATTCCATACAACAGAGAAAGTAACTTTCCTCAGCCTATTAGCAATTTGAAGGCAGCTCATTTGCTAGAACTGAGACCAGCTACCTGAGAAACACTTTTTGATTGACAGAGCTAGTCCCTAGTACCTTTAGAAGAGGCAAACTATGTTACATTTACTTTTGATGGCATCTGACAGAATATATATAGCTACACACACAAAGACTTGTGAAAAAAAAAAAGGACTTAGCACTGAACAGGGGGTACCAATAAACACGCCTGAGCTGTGGAATGCGCCTGGGCATAACTGTAAATCCAGCCAGCGTCTGAACATCTGACTTCACTAGGCCATCGACTAGAGTCTGCAGTTGCCAGAGGCTGAAACTTCTGACCCACCTCAACAAACCATACTCCTGCTGATTACGAACGAAGAGCCCAAAGACCTTAAAGGCCGTATCTATAAAAGGATGGTTTATTCAACCAAGTGATCTAACACTGATTAGGAAAGTGGAAAGAAGAGAAAGAGGAGAATTAACTAAATGGTTTTACTTAAAGTGCTAACCCAGAGGTTTAGATACCGTGCTGAATATTTTTCTTGTTGGCACTTTTATTTTTTCTTCTTTTTTCTGACAGATCTGGATGTTCTCAGCTTTCACGTGGCCCGTGCCAAAGCTCCTTCTTCATGCCTCGCATACTCAAACTTAAGGCTCTAGTCTATATTTAAAGTTACTGTGACTATCTCAAGTTCTTCCCAGCCTACTAATCAAGTAGCACATAATCTTTCAAAGGCATTCTTACATAATTAGAGCAGATTGTGTTAATTTTTGCTCTCATCATTACCTTTCTCACTAAGCGCAGTATATATATTTTTAAATCTGCTAATAATTGGTTCATTTTTAAATTGTCACCTACTCTCTAGTGTAATCATGAGTATTTTCTTAGAAGACCCACTTGAAGCATGGATATCTTATCTGTATGAACCCAAGTTTGCAGCAATGTACTGTACTTGTAATCACAGTATGTTTTTCACATAACTATCATGTCTCACTATGGGA